CCTTGGAAGGAAGATGGGGCAATCTACTTCTGTAGTGATACTGCCTCAGAAACCCAAGGAGGGGTCGCTATGAGTCGGGTCTAACTCGACGGCACATAAACAACAACAGAAAATCCATGAACAAGGCAAGTTCTTCCATTTATGTAGAGCCCTTGTAGTTTCTTGAAGTAGTGTTTTGTAGTTTTCTTTGTATAGGTTTTTTGTGGCTCTGGTAAGATTTATTCCTAAATACTTAATCTTTTTGGTAGCTATTGCAAATGGTATTATTTTCCTTATTTCCTTTTCAGAGGCCTCTTTGTTGATGTAGAGGAATCCAACTAATTTTTGTATGTTGACCCTGTATCCTGCCACTTTGCTGCAACTTTCTATTAGTTCCAGTAATTTTTTGTTGAGTCTTTTGGGTTTTCTATGTATAGGATCATGTCATCTGCAAACAGAGATAGCTTTACTTCCTCTTTGCCAATTTGGATGCCTTTTATTTCTCTTTCTTGCTTTATGGCTTGGCTAGGACTCACGATACAATGTTAAATAGAAATAGTGATAGAGGGCATCTTTGTCTAGTTCCTGTTTACCAGGGGATTGCTTTGAGTCTTTCTTTATTAACAATAATGTTAGGTGTTGGCTTTGAATATATGCCCTTATTATGTTGAGGATTTTCCCTTCTATTCCTATTTTGCTGAGAATTCTGAACAAGAATGGATATTGGATTTTATTGAATGCCTTTTCTGTGTCAATTGATGTGATCATATGGTTCTTTTCTTTTGTTTGTGTGGTGGATTACATTGATTCTTTTTCTAACGTTGAACCATCCTTGCATACCTGGTATGAATCCCACTTGGTCATTATTTATTTATTTATTTATGATGTTGTTGGATTCTGTTGGTTAGGATTTTGTTGAAGATTTTTGCATCTGTATTCATGAGGGATATTGGTCTGTAGTTTTCATTTTTAGTGATGTCTTTCCCTGGTTTTGGTGTCAGTGTTATGCTTGCTTCATAAAATGAATTTGGGAATATTCCATTTTTCTATATTCTGTAATAGTTTGAGTAGTATGTCTGTCAACTCTTCCCTGAATGTTTGGTAAAGTTGTCCAGTGAAGCCATCTGGGCCAGAAGTTTTTTTGTGTGTGTGAAATGTTTTTATGACCCACACAATTTCTTCTTTTTTTTATGGGTCTGTTCAAGTATTCTGTCTCCGACTGGGATAGTTTAGGTAGTTCTCTGGTAGCCTAGTGCCTAAGGCATCTGATTGCTAACCAAAAGGCTGACAGTTCAAACCCACCAGCCACTCCTTGGAAGGAAGACTGGGAAATCTACTTCTGTAGAGATACCACCTTGGAAACCCAAGGAGAGGTCACTGTGAGTCGGATTTGACTTGATGGCAGTGAGTTTGATTTTGGTTTCTAGAAACTTG